GTGGGCAGGTTACATTTGGTAGCCTGCCAGGGTGTACAAAGCAAGAATGAGACAATAAGTTGTCGCACGGCCGTGAATGTATGCCTTTGTTCCTCTGCTGGTACCTTCATGTGTGCGGAGAGTGGTCATATAATCATACAATGTTTATGTTATATACAATTATATAATATAATATACAAATATTATATTATAAACCACTAATTAATTAATTAATTAATTAAATAATTAAGTGCACATTAGTATATTCTTTGTTATGGGGAAAGATGAAGGGATAGCGGAAGCAATATATTTGCTGTTCAAAATTATGAATATAATCATAAGCAACATTGGTTCACCATTTATTACCAGGTCTGTTCATTAGTAAGCATAGGATCATGATGCGTTTTTGAGGTAGAGCACTTGCCTTCCATTTGTGAGGCCTATGTTTGATTTCTGGCATTGAAAAATATATAAGGCTTAAATAATTTCCATGTCAATAGATATTAACCACATTTATTTAAATAAGTTTCATCTTATTGTTCATTAAATGTGTTCAAAATTTTAACATCACTTAAAAACATATGTGATTATTTTTATTACCATATATGCGTTTTATATATTTATCAAAAAATTATACACTTAACTTAAGGATGATAGCTCTTATGATTCGTAGATGTGACAAAGGGCTAATATCCAAGAGTCATAAAGCACTTTCATAATGAACAAAAATACAGAAATTCCATCAAAAATGGCTAGAACTGAATAGACAGTTTCTAAAAGAAGGCAAACAGATGTCCAGTAGGTACACACATAAAAATCTGATCTTTATTACAAATTAAAGCAATGAGATATTGTCTCACAGCAGTGAGACTGGAAAACATTAAAAGAGCAAAAACGACCAATGTTGGAGGTGAGGTGGGGATAAAAGAACCCTCACCCACCCTCAGTAGGAATGCAGACGACCTCAGCCTCTATGGAAACCATCAAGGAGACTTCACAGAAGAGTATAGATTGTGTCCTTAGCACATAAGAGCATAGATTGTGTCTTAGTACCCCAACAGAAACCATGCAATTTGCTGCATCTTGGATGGAACTGGAGGGCATCAACTTAAGCAAAATACATCAGAGGCAGAAGGACAAATGCAACAGGACCACACTCTTCTGTGTGTAAGAGAGGCTCAACAAGGGTGAGTGCCAAGTGATAACAAACCTTCTCCCTCGACCTGGATTACAGAATTGAGAATAGGAAGCAGAAAGGGGTTGCTGGGAGTGAGAGCATGAACTGGAAGTAACATGAGGACATTGGCGTAGGGTATGTCAGCTTTTTCAGAGATAAATGCAGAAAGCCATTGCATATTTTAAGATGATATAGCATTTCTGCATGTTTGGCTTAATTCCGTTATGATGTAAAAAGCTGTTTTGAATTCATTTCTAAATGTATCCTAGAATTTGCAATATTCCTCTTCTTTTTATACAAAATATCAGTCTTACCCCCAATGTATATAACTTTTCAGGAATCTCCGGGTATATTTACTCCCCAATTATACCTTCCCAATATATGCTATTTCCTTAGTCACTTCTTAAATCTTCAATCACTGGGTATTCATTTCATGAAACTTTATACAGATATAAGTATATCTAAACACATATTTGAAAAAAGAATTTGATAATGAAAATGGCTACATTTGAAATCCTAACGAATTACTTTTAAAATTTTAATAGTTTATTTGAAAAAATAATTCAATCTACTGGCTTTTGACACCCACAGAAATGTTTTGAGTAAAAATAAAGCATGTTCTCACTGCCTACAATTTTAATTCCATTCCCTGACTCTTGTTCCATAGCAGATAACAATTACCTGGCATGTCAAGTAAAGGTATCTGTTAAGAATACCTCTATGGCCAGGAATATTGCCCCAGAGTTGGAAGCCTCTCTCATGAGCTGTGGGAAAAGGCAGCTGGAATAGAGAAGGGATCACTTAGACAATGATGGTTAGAGGAATCATTCAGGATGGGAGATGAGTCCTGAAAGATAAAGGGCCAAACGTGATAACCTCTCAGTATCTGTATCACAAAACATAATGCCCAAAAGTAGAGAGAGAGTATGGGAGAAATTTTCTGCCATGGAGGCCGAGGGAGGGTTGGAAAGAGGGGATATACTGGGGACATTGGTGGTGGAGAATGTGCATTAGTAGAGGGACGGGTGTTTGATCATTGTCTGATTGAACTCAAACATGAAAATTTTGTAACTGTATCTCACAGTGATTCAATAAAAAAATACCTTTGCAAAAAATATATGTGTGTACGTGTGTATAGTAGCCATCTGTGATGATAACAATCTATTGTCTTCCCATGGAAGTATATACCTCTGTGTCTCTGCTCTCTCTAGAGACCAATCTCCCTCTCTAATATAGCAACAGGAAGTAGCCTCAGAAAAACTCCAAAGACGTGTACTGCTGAGTGAACAAGCTCTACGCCATGGATATCCCATCTAAAGACAGCTTTATTATATTGAGGATTTTTTTCTTGCAAGAGAGCATGAGATTGAAAATTGCCCATTGGGTGCTTTATCTGCTGTAGATCTATCAAGGAACTACTATTGTGAATGAACTAACAACAATGCCTGGTTTGTCACCTTTCCTCCTGTTTGGGCAGGAAGTATTTCTGGAAAGGGGTGGGCATAAGAACATGTATTTTAAAAGTTGAGGGCAATTCAGGGATATTTCTTTCAGGAGTCAATTTTTATATATAATTACTATGTCATTGTCTAGAATTCTAACTGTCTTTACAGGCATAAATTCCTTATCTCAACTTGGTTAAATGGTTAAATGTAAGCAGAGAAGATTTCTAGTGTGATGTTTCATTGTAGAATGTTGCTTATCTTGAAATATAAATCCACAAGGGAAAACGACAATATAGATTCATCAAACAAAGTGAGGTCACTCATTGTCTTTCTTCAGTAGACATCCAATTTTTCAACAGCATGTTTTTTCCTTTTCTGTTTAGTATAGTAAGTTTTTCCAGCTAAAGTAAGTGTATTCAAATATTTATCTAAATATCAATGCTTTTCATGTTTTATTTTGGCACATCAATGCACTCAAATATTTCACTTTATCATAGAGATAAATATATAGGTATATAACTCTCAGAGAGCCTGGCAAGCTACTGAGAGTATCCTGCCCACACGGGCAGAGCCTGGCAAGCTCCCTGTGTCGTATTCAATATGCCAAAACCAGTAACTATAATGGGTCTCATTCCCCTGACTTTGAAAAAGCCTCCAATTTTTGGGAAAGACAAGTAAGGAGAGGCTGCTAAAATCTCAGAGCTGGGAAGAACAGAGAAGTTACTGGTGCCTGCTCAAGTAAATTGACTAACAACATACAGTGATACAGTGAATGTGTACATTCAAATATTTTATTTCACCACCAAAATACTTTGCCAGAAACATAGATGTCAAAGAATGTGATCACCAAGGTTGTTTACCTTCCTTTTTGTTATTAAAAAATGGAGGAACCTTTTTCAAATCACCTAACAGTTAAACCTTAGCAAAAGTACATCTAATTATTGCCAAGAAAGAGAAAAATCAAACCACTTACTCTCTTAAGCTATGAAATGTACCTCAGACTTATTAGTCTGGTGTTTTTTTTTTTGTTTTAGTCAAATGCCATAAACTCAAGGATTACTCTCAACTCTGGTGGTGCTTAGGAAACATATAAACAGATACACTGCTAAAGATTGTATTGCGGTGACCACCTCCAGTGAACCCTACTCCTGCATTAAATCTCTAGTCACTTGTCTAGGACTCTAAGAAAAAGAAGTTCATTTTCTAGTCAAAATATTTAAAGATATGTAAGAAACATTTATTCAGAGTGTTTGTTTTGAAGGCCATTATTTAGGTTTTCCATCTTAAGATAACCTGCTACAGTCATATTATGAACTCCAAAACTGACAATCCAAAAATATAAACTTTTCATAACTTTATTTCCTAATCTTTGCAATAAATAATTTTAATGACACATTGATAAATAAATAAAAACATCAGTGGATTGTTTTAGGTTGTGATTTCCACGAAGGTATATTGTAGCAGTTTTTTACAGTACATGGAAGTAGTTGCCACCAGAGTTAGAGATTTGCTTATCCAACTGTAAATTACATTTTCTAGAGAGCGGTAACTACATATATAGCAGAACAATAATTCAAATAGGGAGATTGAATGAGTTTTCCTTAAATATTATCAGTTTGTAGCTGTATCTCTGGTAGTTACTTACTTCAAGCAAAAATAAACAACACAACAGATAATCATACCTAACTATATTTCTTTAGAAAATACTAATTAGCCTAATTTTTCTCTGTCTTCTGTTGTGTATAACTGATTCTTGTTCACTTACATTATTTAAATTTAACTTTTATATCTGGGCTAGAGAGAAAGCACAGCAGGTAGGGCATTTGTCTTGCACACGGTTGATCCAGGTTGGATTCCTCCAGCCCCCTTGGAGAGCCCGGCAAGCTACCGAGATATCTCGCCCACACAGCAAAGTCTGGCAAGCTACCCGTGACATATTTGATATGCCCAAAACAGTAACAATAAGTCTCACAATAGAGATGTTACTGGTGCCCACTCCAGCAAATCGATGAACAGCAGGAGGACAGTGCTACAGTGAAACTTTTATATCTATGATTTAAATAACAATATACCAATCATGTTATTTTTTATTTCCTTTCTTTTGGCAGTCTGCCCATTTAGTGTCTATGTTTTTTATCTTCATAGTTTGCTATGTATATTAAGTCTATCTTGGTATACTAATCTAATGTATTTTCTAAATTCTTATGTTTCCACTTCAATACACTTGCTATTTCAGGACTGCCCATTGGTCTCCTTTTTTAATAGCAATTTATCTCATTTTATTTTTTGCATTATTTCATCCTTCTGTTCAACTTAGTATTTCCATTGGTTAGGATGTCTGATTTTATTTCCACAGGTAGAAAACTGGAATAACCAAAATAGGCGATTCATCAGAAGCCATGAAAGAGTCAAATTTTAGTCACCCAGCAGAATTTGTATTACTGGGCTTTTCAGACCAGCCCCAGCTGGAGCTGGTTCTCCTCCTGGTCATCTCTGTCATATACGTCATGACCCTCTTGGGGAACACAGCCATCATATTGGTGTCACATTTGAACCCAAAACTCCACACACCCATGTATTTCTTCCTCTCCAATCTCTCCTTCCTGGACCTCTGTTTCACTACCAGTATTGTCCCACAGATGCTCTGGAACCTCAGGGGCCCCAAGAAGACCATTACCTACACGGGCTGTGTGGTCCAGCTCTACATTTCCCTGGGGCTGGGCTCCACAGAGTGTGTTCTCCTCACCGTGATGGCCTATGACCGCTTCAATGCTATCTGCCGACCCCTGCACTATGGAGTCATCATGCACCCCAGGCTTCTCCAGCAACTCGCAGCTGTGGCCTGGATCAGTGGTTTTGTGGAATCCACAGTTCAGAGCATCCTAGTTTTCCAGCTGCCCTTCTGTGGCCACAACAGGGTGGATGATTTTATGTGTGAGGAACCTGCACTGATTAAAATTTCCTGTGGCAACACAGCCTTCCTGGAAAATGAGCTCTCTGTAGCTAGCGTCCTGTATGTGGTCATACCTCTGGGGCTGATCCTGGTCTCCTATGGCTGCATCGTTAGAAGTGTGCTCAAGATACAATCCGCTGAAGGCAGGAAGAAAGCGTTTGGTACCTGTGGGTCGCATCTCATAGTTGTAGTCTTGTTCTTCGGGACTATAATTTGTGTCTACATTCAGCCCAAGAGTAAGTACACACAGAATCACACTAAATTCCTCACCCTCTTCTACACTGTAGTGACACCCTCATTTAATCCTCTGATCTACACCTTGAGGAACAAAGAGTTTAAGTCAGCCTTAAAAAGGCTGCTGGTCAGAGACCCCCCAGGTTCCAGCTGAAGTGCAAAATCACTTCATGCTGACACCAAACTATTAAGGACTTTTAAGCTCTGTCATGGTTTCTCTTCTCATTCAAAGGACTATGACTAAATCTCAATAAAATAAGAATGAAATTTTCTTTCAATGACATCTGAAGTAACTAACTTGAAATCTTAGTTTCCTGGGGGCAAGGGGTGGGTCTATTTTGTAAAAATACAGTAAACAAATAAATATTTTGTATGAATATATATAAAAATACATATGTGTACATGTATGTATATATGGACATCATGATCATCCTGGAGTTATTGTCCTACTAACATTGTAATAAATCCATTTTATCATCACAGTAATGACTTTTCTGCCTCACGAAGTGAGAAATCAGATCATAGCGTTGTGTAGAGGTTTGGATTTACCTGAGGATGTTTATCATTCCTCTCAGGACTCACAATCAATGGTTCTATGCACTGGAGTTCATTCATAGTTTCCACTGGAAAACTAGTAATTACCTTCCAGTTTGCCTTCTTTGGAGAATTGTTGGTTCTTTTTCATTCAGTACAGACACCTGGGATTAATTACACCCAAGGATATTTCTAACCTTCCCCACTCATGGACAAAGACACCCAAGGGATATTGAGTCAACAGACTGAATGTTTCTCTTATATGGTTCTTACCAGTATGGAAAAACCTCTAATTTCTTTTTATCAATACTTTATACATGAACTCTAAGACAAATGAGGAAATTGGCCACATCCCACAGTACTCAGGGCTTCCTCCTGGACCTATGCTAAGTGATCTCTTCTGAGTACTTGGAAAACCATATGCCATGCTATGGATTAAGCTGAGGTCAGCTGCAAACAAGGCAACCTCCTAACCCCCATATTGTCTCTGTGGCCCAGAAGGGTTTTTTAATTAATTATATTAAAGATAATTTTTAAATGAATAATTATAAAATATAAAAGAATTAAGATTATAAAGAAAGCATTTATAGTAAAACATAATCAGAACACTAAAAACATTTTTAATTTGGTAATAGTATATACAGGCTGGAGTGAGAGCACAGCAGGTAGGGCTTTCATTTGCATTGTACGTGGCTGACCTGGGTTCAATTCCTCCATCCCTCTCAGAGAGCCAGGCAAGCTACCGAGAGTATTCCGCCCCCACGGCAGAGTCTGGCAAGCTCCCCGTGTCGTATTCAGTATGCAAAAAACAGTAACAACAAGTCTCATAATGGAGACGTTACTGGTGCCCGCTTGAGCAAATTGATGAACAACAGGAGGACAGTGCTATATTAAAGAATTGTCTTCTTTTCAACACTTCCTTTTTATTGTGAGATCTAGTTTATAATACTGTTAATGAATGACAGTTTACCTGCATACATCATTTCAATACCACACTCAGCACCCAATGCCGACTTCCCCTCATCAGTGTGCCAAGGACCCCTTCCATCCACCACTTCCTCTCCCTCCACCCAGGCAATAAATGTTACTTCTTGTTCATAATTTCCATGCACATAAAATAACTAAAATTATGTTGCGGTATATTCATTTGAACGTCAATTTAGACAAAATACAAAATGAGCGGACCTATTTCTTTGATGTATTTGGAATTCAGTGAAAAGTAGTTTCCTCTCTTGCTTGGAGTGGTATGACAGCTGGTTTTGAGAAAATGACTTCCTGAGGTTCTTTTGTTGTGGTGACTAGGGTAGCAGTCACCTTTAAGGGAGTTTTGTTCATGGATTGTGGCCTCACCATCAAACCTGTCTCTATAACATGCATTCTCACCACCTTCCAAATGTTACTGGGGACTCTGCAGTACAAAGTGCCTTGATTCTCACTGGCTGCTCCTCCTTTTCTCCAGTCTTCTTCAAAGCAATCTTTTCTCCTCTAAATAACTAGTTCTTCCATCTTAGCTTCCAGAGGCTTCTCTCTTGTCTCGCTCGGTTCCTCCTAACCATCCCTCTGGATTCATATCATTTCATATAGAATTTAATTTCATGGCTTCACACCAGAAATATTCTTTTTCTTCAAGATCAGATCCTTAATCAAGTATTTTACACAGCCTTTAAGCCTATCTACCTTACTGATTATGAGGATGAAATAGAGAAATGTGGGCTTGATCACTTAATCACTTGATATCCCGTTACTCATTGATTTGCTCTAGCGGGAGTCAGTAACATCTCCATTCATCCCTGTTACGTGCTAGCATAGCCCAATGGCATCTGCCTCTTCTAGGAACACAAAGAGTCTCAAACCTATCGTTCAGGGTCTTGACGAAGAAGTATGACCATCTTGTAGGTGGGTGGCCACGCAGTCTTTTGACGTCCCATGGAATCCAGTCTCTAGTCCAGCGGTCATCTCCAAATCTCATTACATGTCCAGCCCATCTGATTTTCGATGCCTTGGCAAATGAGACAGTGTCCCTGATTCTTGAGCGTTGACAGAGGTCGGAACTCCAGATTCTTTCTCTCATTTGAGGGAAGCGTGATACTGCAAGCATAGCTCTTTTGATTCCCCTTTGGAAGACCCGAATAGCATTCTCATCCTGTTTTCATAGGACCCAGTTCACTGAGGCGTATGTTAATGCAGGAAGAATAGTAGAATCAAAGAGATGTGCCCGGACCCAGAGGTTCTTCGTCCTCTTAGCTATTTCTTCAATGCTCTTGAAGGCATTCCAAGCTGCTCTCTTCCTCCTGCGCAACCCAGGTGCCAGGTCATTCGTCATGTTGACTTCAAAACCTAGGTACATATAACTGTTGCATTTGCAGATGGTCATTCCATCGAGAGCAAATGGAATGTCAGGAAAGAGACTGTTTTTCATGAATATTGTCTTTGTGAGATTCAGCTGTAATCCGACCTTTCCAAACTCACAGTCGAAGTCAGTCAGCATTTGGGCCGCTTGACTGATGTTTGGTGTTATTAGAACAATGTCATCATCAAAGCAGAGGTGGTGTAGTTGCCGACCATCTATCTTCACTCTCATTTCTTCCCATTCCACATGTCACATGACGTTCTCAAGGGTGGCACTGAAAAGTTTCAGTGTAATAGTATCACCCTGTCGAACCCCTCTCTTGACATCGATGAGCACATCTTTGTAGAATGGTGGGATCCTGGTATTGAATCTGCAATACGGCTCATGGATGATCCTGATGTATTGAGTTTGAATGCCCTGATTGACTAGGGCTTCAATGGCAGCTTCCATCTCAACAGAATCAAAGGACTAATTTAAATCAATGAAAGTTAGACAGAGCATCATCTTGAACTCCCGAGAAACCTCAATGAGCTTGGTTATCATGTGGATATGGTCGATCCTGCTGAATCCTTTGCAGAACCCGGCTTGCTCGCATGGTTGTCCTTCATCTAGTGTTCTGCAAATCCTATTTAGTATGACTTGAGTCAATAACTTGTAGATGACAGACAATAGGCAAATTGGGAGAATGTCGTGAATGTCTCCCTTCTTGTATGGTAGTACAGTCCTGCTGGTTTTCCATTGGGACGGAAACTTGCATTCAGATAAGTAGCGTGTGAAGAGCCGAGCCAGTGTATTGATGAGTACTGATGGTAGGTTCTTCAGGTGTTCGGGTCTGACCTTGTCTGGATCAGGTGCTCTTTGTTTCTTTACCGACAAGATGGTGTGTCAAATTTTGGAAGGGAGAACGTTGGGAGCAACATATCCATCCTGCGGAATTTGATATTTGGGCAAGTGGACATGGCTATTAAAGAGATTTGAGTAGAATTCATAAATAATCTTCTCCATTGCCCTTCTAGAAGATGTGATAGATCCATCAGGATGTTGGAGTCATCTTGGTCATGTAGTTAGTGAAGAAAAGGCAGGCGTTACGAATGCTTTTCCCAGCTTCTGTCGCATCTACCAGCACTGCTTCTCTTCTCTCTTTGAGGTCTTCCTTGATCGCTTTTCTGCACTGCTTTGTGAGCTCGGACATTTGCTTGCGATTGCCTGAGACATGCACCAAGCCACGTTGGCGAATAAGCTCAAGGATTTTTGAAGACAGGCATTTTTCTGTAGTTATCTCTCTCAGCATTGCTCGCACAATCATGGAAATGCTAAAACAGTCCATCGTATTCCTTGTCAATGTCATCAAGAAAGGCATCTTCCCATGTTGCCACAACAGAGCCAAAGAGCTCCCAGTTGGTGGTCGTTCTGGGAGTTCTCTTCTTAAACTTTTCAGCCCTTTCTCCCCGCTCTGTGAAGTAGAATTTTGCACGAAGGAGACGGTGGTCTGATCCCATTTGGAATTTTGGGATAACAGAGACATCAGTCAGGCAAAACCGTCGATTGAATATGATGTGGTCAATTTCATTGTGTAACTGTCCACTGGGAGACTTCCATGTCCAACTTTTAGATTCAGCCTTCTGGAACTGTGAGTTACCATGGATGGTCTTGGTCAACATGATGAACTCAGACAGTCTGTCACCCTGTTCATTCCGTTCTAGGCCATGGGTCCCGATGTGGAGTTCTTTGGCTGATCTTCTCGGTCCTCTCTTGGCATTAAAATCACCAACAATGATCTTGTGGAAGGTGTGGTCTTCTTTATAGAACTTCTCCAGCTCCATGTAGAACTCCTCAATTTCTCCTTCACCATAATTGGATGTTGGTGCATAGACAACGAAGATAGAAACTGCCGGCAGTGAGCCACATCTATTCAAGTGTAATCATCTGATTCAGGTTGTTAGGCATTCGAAGGAATCAATGCTCATGGCTAAGTTCGTGTTGACAAAGACACTGACACCACTGATGCCTCTTTTGTAGCATGTTCCAAGGAATAGTTCTTCTCCAGTGTCGACTATAAAACCCAGCTCCCGGAAGAGAACAGCGCAGAGTCTCCTGCCCCCGTGCCTGGCTGTCCTCACTGGGGCCCCTTGGAAGGGGGCGGGTTGAGTTTCCCTCCCCGCCCCGAGCAGAGCTCTGGCAGCCGAAGACCTTCAGAACCAGCCACAACCATGCTGAGACCACTCTCCACACACATGAAGGAACTGGCAGAGGAACAAAGGCATGCGGGT